ATAAAGCAGATAGAAAAACATGAATAGACTACCCTGGCCTAGCCTCCCAGCCTACATCTTTCTCCCATGCTGGATGCTTCCTGCCCTCGAACATCTGACTCCAGGTTCTTCAACTGTGGGACTCAGACTGGCTCTCCTTGCTCCTCAGCTTGCAGATGGCCTGTTGTGGGACCTTGTGATCGTGTGAGTTAATACTTAATAAATACCCCTTTATATATCTGCCTATTCTATCAGTTCGGTCCCTCTACAGAATCCTAAAACACTTTGAAGAGTGTTACAAGTGTATATAATTTGAGGATGAAAGAAGCCCAGTGTAGGTTTAATAAAACTGTATCACGGTACATGGTGAAGCAGATAAAATATACATTTTCTAAGCTCACCTTATCAAGACTGCCACCATATACTTCATCTGTGCTGACGTAAATAAACTTCTCCACTCTGGCTTCATGAGCAGCACTTACCAAAACGTGAGTACCATAAACATTAACATAGGTAAACTCAAAGGCACGTACGAATGAAAGATCTAAAAAAAAAGAGTGAAAAGCTAAAACAAGTCTATCCAATGGATAAAACAAATGCCAAATGATGGCTTCAGGTTTAAGGAGGGTACTATTCACGTCTCTTCATTTACCACAGCTGCAACAGTTATAGTAATAACATACACAGGCAGTGATATTTATGACTTCTTTAAACCTAAATTACATAGTACATGCAAATTCTTAGAACCCAGAAAACTATCAGTGTTAAATTTGCAGGAAAGTTTTTATTCTATATGGAAGAAAATTTAAAAATAATTCACCGAAATTTAAAACGTTCTTAAATTTAAAAATTATGAATTACAGAGCTAGGCTTTTTAAGATCAATCTGTTACTGCTGAAAGCAATAAATGTTGAATGAGTTATTTAAAAATAAATTCACCTTAAAAGAACTGAACCTCTATAACAAGGAAATGGAAGGAACTTCCTTAACGATGAATCACAATCCAGAAGCAATAATGGAAGAGACGGATAAATTTGACTGCATAAAAATTTTGCATGGTTAAAAAACTAAAAACAAATTAAAAAGACAAAAATGACAAACTGGGAAAAACCATGTGAAATTACAGAGATAAAGGGTTAAGTATCGTCAACTTATAAAGAACTTTAAATAAATAAGAACAATCCTACAGTAAAACAGGTAGGAGACATAAACAGTTTAGATGAAGAAATACAAATGAGTCCTTAAGATTATGATGATCAACCTCACATACAATTAAAAAAACCCAAATTAAAAACTCAGAGATACCACTTCTTATCAGACTGGCAAAAATTCAAAAATTTGACAAATCACTTATTTGTTGAGGCTGTTAGACAAAAGATACTTTGTACACTGACAATAACAATGTAAAATGTTTACAATCCCTAAGGAAGGAAACTTGGAAATATCCAGTCAAATTACATAGGCATTTCCCTCTAATCCAGAGTTATGGGCTAAACTGTGTTCTCCCCATAATTCATCTTAAGGTCCAACCCTTTCCCCCAGAACCTCAAAATGTGACTATATTTGGAGATAGGGCTCTTAAGGAGGTGATTAAGTGAAAATCAGGTCTTTAGGATGGGTCCTAATCCAATCTACCTGGTGTCCTTAAAAGTAGAAATGTGGACTCATTGTGTGTTCTGGAATAAAGTAAATAAGTAATTAGGGTGGTGCTGTTGAGAACCAAGGTGTTCAAGGTAAGGAAAAGATGATACAAATGAAAGACTGATGAACTTAAACAAAAACTCTGAATCTGAATTGGACATTTCAGTGTAAACCCATGTCACATTTAATCTTAATAGACAAATAATATTCCCTAGTTTTGTTAACTGAAAAAGCCTTGAAACAATGTCCAGTTAATAAGCACTCCCAGGGCCCAGATTGTGGCCTCTAAACACCATTTCCCACCAAAAGGAACAATGGCTCCTGAGACAAAGAGCTGATTCCAGATCTTGGGGGAAAAAATATTGAAGATAAAACTGAAACATCCTATCAAACCAGAAAGTTAGATGGCTGTCAAAGACTGCTAAGGTCATGTCAAAAAGGACTCAGGAAGCAACTAGAAGAGCCTCTCAATGGCTAATGGTGAGTCATTTTGAACATAAATAAGAAAAATAACTGCAAGTGATTAAAACAAAAAAAAATCAAATGTGTTAGAATCTACAAATTCATAACGATACTAAAAAAAAGAAAAAAGAAAAAGGAGGATACTTGGAAACCAACTCATTATAGTAAAATCTACTAAATAAATAAAAACAATCAGGTATTTAACCTGGCTTTTCTGTAACAATTAAATATCAAGGTAAGCAAATAATTTATAAGAAAAACTTTCTCTCTCTCTCTCTCTCTCTCTCTTTGTTGCCCAGGCTGGAGTGTAGTGGCACAATCTCAGTTCACTGCAAACTCTGGCTCCCAGGTTCAAGCGATTCTTGTGCCTCAGCCTCCCGAGTAGCTGGGGTAACAGGTGCCCACTACCACGCCCAGCTAATGTTTTTGTATTTTTGAGACGGGGTTTCACCATGTTGGCTAGGCTGGTCTTGAACTTCTGACCTCAGGTAATCCACCCATCTCAGCCTCCCAAAGTGTTGGGATTACAGGCGTGAGCCACTGCGCCTGGCTGGAAAACTTGTTTTTATGTAGATATTACAGGTATAAATGAAGAATGACATAATTAGAATATCATTTTGTAAACCCCTAATATAATGACTACTGACTATATAAAGTAGTAATAATGGCATCTAGTGGGAATAAAAAAATAAGATCAATTTAAAAATCCAGGCTGGACATGGTGGCTAATGCCTGTAATCCCAGCACTTTGGGAGGCCCAGGTGGGTGGATCACCTGAGGTCAGGAGTTTGAGACCAGTCTGGCCAATATGGCAAAACCCTATCTCTACTAAAAATACAAAAAATAAGCCAGGCGTGGTGGCACATGCCTGTAATCCCAGCTACCTGGGAGGCTGAGGCATGAGAACTGCTTGAACCTGGGAGGCAGAGGTTGCAGTGAGCTGAGATCACAATACTGCGCTCCAGCTTGGGTGACAGAACAAGACTCTGCCTAAAAAAACAAAACAAACCAAAAAAACAGATAAAAACAGAGTTAAAAATAGCTAAAAATGGAGTTGGAAATTAAATGGGAAGAGGACAAAGGTTTTGATGAACTTTACACTTTGATAAGCTAATTACACATCTGTAATTTGTAGGGTAACCACTCCAAGAGTACCAACAGAACATATAATTTCCAAACTAGTAGAGGGAGAAAAAGAGAATAAGAAAAATTCCTCAGTCAAGTCCTTAAAAAAAGTAAGCAAGAATTTTTAAAAATAAACAGTTTTTACAAAGGAAGAATTCTTTTTTTAAAAAAAAAAGTAAGCAGCAACCAAGGAAACAGAACAGGTGAGAAAAGAAAGCACACAGTAAGATGGTAGGAATAAATCCAAATATAGCAACAAACTAAACACTGAGGGTAAATATCAAGGATGGTCAGAATGGGTTTAAAAAAAATCAAAATCCAAATACATGTTGTTTACAAGACATGCAGCTAACCCGTAAAGCTAGAGAAATAAAAAGATGGAAAAAGTATCATGAAAATACTAACCAAAAAGGAAGTAACACAGCTATATTAATGTCAAACAAAACAGATTTTAAAGCAGTACACATCACCAGGGGAAAGAGATCACTTCATAAGGATAAAAGGTTCAATTCACCAGAAATACACAAGAGATTTAAAGAACATCATTAACCAACTTAACCTAATGGATGTGTAAAGAACAATGAACCCAATGTTTGCAAATTAACATTTTTTTCAATACATATACAAGTTACAGAAAGTGACCATATACTGAGCCAAAAAGCAAGTTGTAGCACAAAGGACTACAATCATAGAGTATGTTATCTAATCATATACATTTAAGCTAGAATTCAATAAGAAAAAGAAAATCCATACATGTTTGGAAATTAAGACATACATGTCTAAGTAACCCATGGATTAAAGAATAAATCAACTTCTTTTTTTCTTTTTTTTCTTTTTTGAGACAAGGTCTCATTCTGTTGCCCAGGCTGGAATGCAGGGGTGCAATCTCAGCTCACTGCAACCTCGCCTCTTGGGCTCAAGAGATCTTCTCACCTCAGCCTCCCAAGTAGCTGGGACTACAGGCACACACCATCATGCCGGGTTTTATTTTTTATTATTATTTTTTGTAGAGACAGGGTCTCACCATGTTGCCCAGGCTGGTCTGGAACTCCTGGGCTCAAGTGATTCGCCTGCCTTGGCCTCTCAAAGTGCTAGGATTACAGGTGTTAGCCACCGCAGCCAGCAAGAAATCAAACTCTTAAGAATAAAAGCTAAGGAAAAAATACATATGAAAATCTGTGGGATTCAGATAAAGCAGTATTTAGAAGTAAATTCATAGTCTAAAATGTATACATTAGAGAAAAGGTGAAAATTAAATTAATAGGCTAAATATATCACAGAGATTAGAAAAAAGAATAGAAAGTAAGCCTAAACAAAGCACAAATAATGAAATAATAAAGGTAAGACCAGAAATTCATTATATAGAAAACAAACCACGCATAAGAAAAGATCAACAATATCAAAGATTGTTTTTTGGGAACAACAATGTCAAATGTCAAATGTTGTTTTTTGGAACAACAGGGTGGGAGGTTTGCTTTGCTGGTATAAAGAATTATTATAAAGCTACAGTAATTAAGATGGTGTGATAATAGTATAAGCACAGACAAAGACCAACGGAATTGAACAGAGTCGAGAAATAGAAGCATACATATAAAAACACTTGACCCATGACAAAAGAGACAATGAGGAAGAGTCAAGTCTTTTCAATAAATGATTTTGAGTCAAATTGATATGGATATGGGGAAGAAATCTATATGTAAAAGGAAAAACAGTAACTTTTAAGAAAAGAATTATGAGACAACATGTCCATGACCTTGGAGGTAGGAAACGAGTTCTTAATCAAGACAGAAAGAGCACTAACCCTAACGAAAAAGGTACAGATAATTTAACCCACATTGAAATTAGGAACTTTCACTAATAATAAGATACCATTAAAAATGGGAAAAGGCCGGGCGTGGTGGCTCACGCCTGTAATCCCAGCACTTTGGGAGGCTGAGGTGGGTGCATCACCTGAGTAGGGTGGATCATCTGAGGTTGGGAGTTCGAGACCAGCCTGGCCAATGTGGTGAAACCCCATTTCTACCAAAAATACAAAATTAGCCAGGCGTGGTGGC